AGGTCCTGGAAGGCTGGTAACCAAGTGTCTGCATGGAGAGGTGCTGATCACTAGTCCAGGTCCCAGTCCTTTCTCAGAGCTCAGTATGACCGTGTCTCCCATAGTAATGACAACCCTAGAAACCAGAGGAAACTAAGCAGGACACCACCATTTCCTCCTTCATGCCACATGTCCAAGTTAGAAGGCATGTGGAGTAAGGAATGGCTTGGTTGGTAAAGTGTTTGCCTTGTAAGCAGCACCCACGTTAAAACAGAAAAATAAATATCTGGGTGTGGTGGTGTGCCCGTGGAATCCAGAAGGATTTGGAAATTCAGCAGGAGGTGGATACAGGCAGATTCCTCGGGATGATCAAAAAAACAAGGTGGATGACTCACGTCCTCACGTGTGTGTACATAGTAAACACCATCTCCCAACACACACACACACACACACACACACACACACACACACACACACACACACAAGAGAACGCCAGCTGAGGTGTGGTGACACAGGCCTGTAATCGTAGCATTTGGGAGCATGGGAGGCTGGGGCAGGAGGATTGTGAATTCAAAGTCAGAACAGAGAGTAATACCCTGTCTCAAAACATCGAAAGGAGCAGGAAGAGGCAGAAGGAAAGGAGAACAAAGAGGGAGAAAAAGGAGGAAAAAGAGGAAGATGGAGAAGAGGAGGGGGAGGAGGGGCAGAAAAGAAAACAGTAGCCAGGCAAAATGGCACACACCTTTAATTCCAGTGCTTGGGAGGCAGAATCAGATGAATTGTTGCGGAATACTTAAAAGATGTGTTACATTTGTTTATGCTGTAGAATATTACTTTAACTGTGTAAAGGTGTGTTACTTTTCTTTCTGCTCCATCCTTTAACAATGTAAGGGGTGTTACATTTGTTCCTGCTGCATTTGTTTAATTATGTAAAGATGTGTTGCATTTGTTTCACCTTCCCTGTCTAAGGCACCTAATTAATTGGCCTAATAAAAAGCTGAACAGCCAATAGCTAGGTAGAAGAGGAAAAGGCAGGGTTGGCAGGCAGAAGGAATAGATAGGAATCTAGGTTCCAGAGAGAAGAAGAGGGAGACTCCTGGGGCTAGCCAGGCAGACAGCCATTATTACCCAGGCATGGAGAAGCAGTGAAAGTAAGATATCGAAGTAAAGAAAGGTAAAAGTCCCCAAGGCAAAGCGTAGATGAAGAGAAAAAGGTGAAGTTATAAGAGTCAGCAAGAGCTGGACGGTGGCAGCGCACACCTTTAATCCCAGCACCCGGGACGCAGAGGCAGGCAGATCTCTGTGAGTTCAAGACCAATCTGGTCTACAAGAGCTAGTTCCAGGACAGGCTCCAAAGCTACAGAGAAACCCTGTCTCGGGGAGAAAAAAAAAGCTTCAGCAAGAAACGCATCTAAGCTAAAGTCAAGCATTCATAACTAATATGTCTCCGTGTCAGAATTTGGGAGCTGATTGGTGGCCTAAAAGAAAACCTGGTACAATGGATCTCTGAGTTTAAGTCCAGCCTAGTCTACTTAGTGAGTTCTAGAATAGCCAGGACTATGTAGAGAGGTCTGGTCTTGTCTCAATAAGAGAAGAAAAGGAAGAGGAGGAAAGAGGAGGAGAGAAAACACTAAGTCTTGGGGAATTCTAACAGCAAGCCAAGCTCCTGAGACACTAGGATGTTCTCTTGGGCTCTCCATCCCCCTATTCTGCTTTTCATGGTTCTCTTCTTCTGTACTCTTCAGCAGTCATCAGTGCCTTACCATGGAAGACTGTATATTTTGGCAAGACCAGGAATCCGGAGACACCACGAAGATTCCTGGACATTCTCGCTGCCATCAGCCAAGCTGAGTAGCGACACCCCTTAGTCTATAGCCTCCTAACTCCACCACTCTCCTCCTTTCTCCCGACTTTCTGCTTCCCTGTCTCCCACCTGCCTGAACACTGCTGTACACCTTCTAGCTGTGACTTGGCAGCTTCCCTATGGGTGATCACCAATCTTCCCTATTGGTGATTCTGTGAACAACTGTGACCCTGATTCATCCCAATGTCCAGACACACCCTCAGCTCTCAGCCACAACACATCTCCACTGGAGCCAAATTCAAGTTTGCTTTCTTCATTTCTCAGTTTGTTCCCATTTTCCATCCTTGAAATACCGTCTCCTCCCCCACTCCCATCTTTCACAGGAAAATATATATATATATATATATATATATATATATATATATATATTTGGTTTATCAAGACAGGAAACTGTATTACCCCACCAGGAATGCTGTGTACCAGGGTGACAACTGACCTCGAGAAGGAGCGTATGGGACTCTCTGTGGCTTTTGCTGTGAACCTAAAACTTCAGAAACAATAACCAGTAAAAATTGCATCCTGCCAGGTGAAGCAGTGCACAGCTTTGATCCTGGCACTCGAAGGCAGAGCCAAGTGGATCTGTGATTTCAAGGCCAGCCTCCTGGGCAGCAGAGTATGATCCTGAATCCTGTCTCAAGCGCATCATCATTCTGGTGATCCATAGGCAGCAAGGGCAGAGTGCTAACAAACTCTACCCAGCTGGGGAATCAGTGGAGAAGGCAGCCTTGAGATCACATGTCACAAAGAAAGTTCAGGGGAGCCTGATTTCTTCAAGGTGTAAATGAAGTTCAGTTGCAAAACAAACAACAGAACCCTCCATCAGAGGCTGGGGTGGGTAGGAGCTGGGCAGCCACCACAGACGTGAACTGACATCCCTAGCCACTCGGATGCTCCAAACACACAGTATACTGACTATATGCAAATACAGAGCAGCTTTGATCACCTTTTAGGGTCCTTCCACTCCTCCTTGCATTGAAAACCAGCCAATTTTTTTGCCACCTTTAAACACAAGAAGCCAGCAGGTACAGCTATAGTAACTTAAGAAGAAAAAGTGCCAGGTAGTAGTGGCGCACGCCTTTAATCTCAGCACTTCGGAGGCAGAGGCAGGCGATTTCAGTGAGTTTGAGGGCAGCCTGGTCTACAAAGTGAGCTCCAGGACAGCCAGGACTGTAACACAGAGAAATCCTATCTCAAAAAAAAAAAGAAAGAAAGAAAGAAAGAAAGAAAGAAAGAAAGAAAGAAAGCCTGAGGTTGTCCCTGACTTCCACCTACACAGGTGTGCTCAAGGACACAAAGACACACCCTATGAAAGAGGTCAGCTGATTTGCCTTTAATCCCAGCACTTGGGGGAGGCAGAGGCAGGCCTCTGTGAGTTAAGGCCAACCTGGTCTACAAAGGGAGTTCCAGAACAGCCTGGGCCGTTACAAAGAGAAACCCTGTCTTAACCCCCGCCCCCCCCAAAAAAAAGCCTGGACAAAGGCTGGAGTAGGGCTATGTAAATGACACGTGAGTAGTCAGAAGCCTTCGGGCCCAACACTTGTGAGCTTCTGACTGTCCCCCCCTTACCACTCTCTTCATTTCATTTCAGGAGTTTTCTTTCCTTTCTTTAATAAACAGTCTTTATTTCTACATCTAACCACGTGTCCCTAGGACAGTTCTTTGTCCTGAGACACAGGGAGCTGGAAATCCCAACGGGTGTCCTCAGTCTCAGATCCACGTATCAGATGTGTATAGGTTTCCTTTGACTTTCAAGCGGTGTCTCTACAGATGTACACACAACATGGTCTACACATACAACATGCTTGCATATGCATGTATATGTATGTTCCACGCATTTTGTGTGTGTGTGTGTGTGTGTGCGGGCATGATATCTGTGTATGGATTCATGATATAGCACAGTCTGTGGAGGTCAGAGGACAACTCTAGGGAGTCGGTTTTCTTCTTCAACCATGTGGGTGAAGGGACTCTAGCTAGCTCAAGTGTGGTAAACATGGCTCTGGCAGGCTTGCCCATTTCCCCAGTTCCTAATGCCTTGCTAAAAACTGTGAGCTTACACTCCTAAAGCTAGCCACCAAGGTCTGTTTCCTCATTGGATACTTCCTCCTCCTAAGGCTGACCAACAAGGTCCAGCTATTAAAGTACTCAAGTCCAGCCTTCAGCTCACATAATTAACATGCCCAATTAAAATTAAACACCTCATCCTAACATGGAGTCCCCCTTGTACCTTACAAACCACCATTTTCCCATGTGCCCCAGCTGTCTTTCTATCCAGTGGTAGTCCTGTTTCTCCTGCCCCTCCGCAAATATCCCTACCCCTCCCTTGTTTCCTTCCCCTTCTCCCTTTATCTCCTGTCTTTGCCTCTTAGTCCCTGCCCTCCCACTCCCCAGCATTCTTTCCCCCTGTAGCAAATAAACCTCCTTTGTGCTGAGAACTTGGTCTTGGGAGATTCTGAAGCCAATACCCATCTCTTACAGTGAGTCCTGGGGATGAAATATAAATTGTTAGGTTTGGCAGCAAGCACCTTTCCCGGCTAGGCCATTTTGACAGCCCTATATGCGTTATATATGTTCCACATAATACAAATGCAAACATGTTGTGTGTGTATATGTGTCCCAGACATCCGCGTTCTAAGGCGGCTCAATGGCGGCCTCAAAAGCACTGAGGTAGGCTGGAGAAATGGCTCAGCGGTTAAGAGTACATGACTGCTCTTCCAAAGGCCCTGAGTTCAATTCCCAGAAACCACATGGTGGCTCACAACCATCTGTGACCGGATCAGATTCCTTCTTCTAGCGTGCATGAAGACATAGCACTTATATACTTAAAATACAGAAATAAATAGTAAAAGAAAGAAAGAAGGAAAGCAAGCAAGCAAGCAAGCAAGCAAGCAAGCAAGCAAGCAAGCAAGCAAGCTAGCTAGCTAGCTGTTGGGTGCTTCTGCAGCGTTCAACAAGTAGAAAGACAGAAGAACCGGGACCCAGAGCGGGAACCACGCCCACGGCGTCGCCTGCGCATGCGTGTGCTCTGGGACCAGTTAGCCTCAGTGCGCAGGCGCAGTGTGACGCGCAGGCGTTTGACGTCACCGTGAGAGGCGTCGCGCTGTGACGTGAGTTGGCCATGGAGGCGCTGGCGGGTGAGGAGCACGGAGGGCAATGGGGGAAACCAAGGCTTGATCTACCCAAAAGCCCCGGTGGTCCGAACGTGGTGTACGGAGGATGAGACCCGGCCCGTTACGGCTATGATGCCCAGGCTGACAGCCGCGAGGGAGAGTCAGTCCGGCCCTCACCCAGCCGGACTCGACGCGTTTAAAATAGCCTGAGCCGGGGTGGTGGGAATGGAGGGGTTCGTTCAGCCTCGAACACCGCGCAGCAGCGCCTTCGCTACCCGCGCAACAAAGCATTGTAAACAAGGAAGCGTATGCATCAAACAGCGAAGGTTTGGAAAGCTTCCACTTGCCCGTTGGTGGGGTCTGCCCTTGCAAACGCTGTGATGCCACGAAATTTACAAAGGACCACAGCTGGGGTTGGAGAGATCTCTGTGGTCAAGGGCGCTTGTTGCTCCTACAGAGAACGGGAGGTCAGTCCCAGCAAGCATATGAGATAGCTTACCATTCCCAATTCCAAGAAAAAGGATCAATGCCCTCTGACCCCTGGCATCTATTGGTACCTGCGTGCTCCACCCTTCCCCCCACCCGCAGTTGCTGGTGGTGCACATAAACACGTAAACAAATGTGGACACACGTATGTAATAAATCTTTTAAAAAAGAAAGACAAAAATACTTTCTACACACCAGGCAGGTTGGGGGTGTGCTTGCTTAACACACTCGGAACCCTGAGTTTGACCCTCTGCACCCCTAAATAATCAAGACTATTCTAGCCAAACCTGGTGGTCTACACTCCTAACTCTTGCTACTTGGGAGGCTGAAGCTAGAGCACTTGAGTTTCAGGCCTGTCTGTGCAACACAGTGCCACCTTGCTTCCAAAAGGTGTTGTGTAGCTTATCAGTGGATGATGGCTAAGTATGCTGTCACCTCTGGTACTGCAGAGACAATGCAAATGACTTCACAGCTAGGTTTCAGGTTTCACTGTATGCTCCCAGTTCCTAGCAGAAGTTTGGAGCTCTACTCCCAACTGGTGAGGGAGCTTGAGGGGAAACTAATATTTCCATTGCTCTGAAGAAAGACTTGGCACCTTAAGCTGGTCTGGCGTGGACCCAAACTGCTGTGCAGATGTTGTCACAAGAGCAGGTATACAAGTGACCACATGCACTGTGGGATTGGTTTTTATCAGTAAGTCACAGTCCTTTGTTGTAGGTGTCTCCAAGCAAGGCATCCGTGAACGCATTTGGGACTATATGGAATCACATGATTTAGCTGACTTCCCCCGACCTGTGCATCACAGGATTCCGAACTTTAAGGTACGAAGGTGTTCCTGGGGTTGTTAGAAGAGGATGAAGTTATCCCTGGGAGAATCAAGTCAGCAGCACAGCTCCTCTGCTTTCTGGTAGGATTGGTCCTCGAGGCGCAGTGAGCAGAGGCAGAATGCAAGAGGCCTGGAGGGCTCTTTGTGTTTGGATACATTCCCCTCCGTTACCCAGTGAGGCACAGCCTCTCTGTGGGAGTGGAGAGTTGCACTGTAGCTGCTACCAAGGCTTTTCACAGAACTGGCCTTCCTCAGCCGCTTATGGAGGAGCTTATGGAACCCCCAGAGGGAAGCCCAGCCTTTAGTGCCCAGAAAAGCATCATGTGACAGAAGCCCGGGCGCTGTTTCCTAACCCAAGATGACTATTGCCGATAGTTTGCGTGGAAAATAGTTTGCCTGAAAGAGGCAGTGTGAGCCAGGAGCTGGTTCACGCTGGCCGTCCAGCGCCGGAAAGGCAGAGGCAGGAGGGCACAGGAAGAGGGCATAGGATGAACTCATAGATTCTGGAGTGAATGGAAAAGGCGAAGGAGAGGCCTCTCCAGGCATCCCGCTCCTTAACTGATGCTGCATACGTGAGCTCCATTCTTCTGTGGAAATCCTTCAGCTTCTGTGCTCTTTTTAGAGTTTTCTTTCCTTAAAAACTGAGTTCTGGGGCTGGAGAGGCTCAGTGGTTAAGAGCACTGGCTGTTCTTCCAGAGGTCCTGAGTTCAGTTCCCAGCAACCACATGGTGGCTCCAACCCTCTGTATTGAGAGCTGATGCCCTCTTCTGGCATAAAGTCAGTAGAGCATAAAGTAAATATCTTTAAAAAACAAACTAAAAAAACCTTGAATTCTGGCTTAGTTCCTTTCTATCCTGTGTTCTTTCTGAGGTGTCCTTGGGGAAATGTGGGCTCCTGTATCTCGATGGATGCAGGGCTGTGATGCCTAGGCTGTACTTGGCCCCCATCCCCAAGGTGACATGCAGCCACGTTTACACAGGGTGCTTCTCGTGCTGCGGAGCATTTCCCACACCTGCACGCTTTCAGTGTGGCGAGAACCATTAAAGTCAACCCCGATGCTCCTCAGAGGAACGCCCGCTTCCTCGTGCTGGAGGTGAGTGCAGCACTGTTTTTGCCTACCTAGGGGTCCTACCTGGCTTGCCAAAGCATCAAAGACCTGGACGTCTTTGCTGGGACACAGGAAGTGAAAGTGGACCCTGATAAGCCCCTGGAAGGTGTCCGGTTGCTGGCACTGCAGGTATCTCCGTGCTCCCAAGGTGCCCTCAGTCATGAGTGCTCCCCCTCCAGATGACTGCTGAATGCATGTCGTATCTCTAGGTGACTGCAGCTCACAGCAGCCATCTCTCACTTCGTTTTTTAATGTTCTAATTCTTTGAAACAAAAACTCCTCAGTTAGAAATCTGAATCTGTGTTAGGTGATGGTGCCACACACCTTTAATCCCAACACAAGGGAGGCCGGGGCAGGCAGATCTCAGTGAGTACAAGGCCAGCCAGTCTACAGAGCAGAGTGAGTTCCAGGCCAGCCAGAGCAACACAGAGAAACCCTGTCTCAAAAGAAAACAAACAGACAAACAAATGTGTAGACCACTTCTCAAAGAAAAGAGAGCACCCCCATCATTCATTCAAACTACTTTATATCATCTCATGTAGCATGAGACGAGAGCTTGGTGTGCATTTTAATGCTCATAGCTCTAAGCAGTTATAATAACCAGTGCAGACAAAGCGAATGCAGGCCGAGCCCCACATATCGCTGAGTGGCACAGGCAATGTGATGACTGACCTAGCTCTGCCGAACCAAGGCTGCTGCTGCTGCTTTGACACTGAATGCCAGGCTTAGAGCTTTGGAAATCAACCTGGGACTGCCAGAGGCCATGGAGTAACTTGCTGGTCCCCCATTGGTGTCCCATTACATGGCAGAAGTCTCAGCAGTGCAGGACATTGTGCGGTAAGGGAGGCCTAAGGCCTCTGTGCTGAGGAGAGCAGTGACGTGCAGCTCCTGCTCTGGGCCCAGGAGACTCAAGGAGGCTTCCTGGAAGCGCAGGAGTGTTGACCTCCCCTCCCAGGCAGTGAGATGATATTTGAACTAGACTGACACCCCATACCACAGTGAGGAGAGCAGGGAACAGCGGGAGGGAGCGGTTGCTGATGTGGGGGAGGACACTGGGGTTATCACTCAGTGGCCTTCAGGGGAAACAGGCATGAGAGGGGAAGCAGCCCAGCTATGCTCAGGTGTTCCTTAGTTGAGATTCCCTTTGTTCATGGGGAAAACATGCACTCGCTGTGTAATTGATTGTCTTTTCCCTCAAAGAGCAAAAAGACACTGCTGGTCCCAACTCCACGACTGAGGACAGGGCTGTTTAATAAGATCACACCACCTCCTGGAGCCACTAAAGATGTACTGAGGAAATGTGCCACCTCCCAGGTGAGTGCTAGAAGTGCCCACCCTGGGGGGCTGTCCTCCTGAGTCATCGCACCGTGAAATAGCATCCATGGAGTTTACACAGAGCCTTGAGAGCACTGTTAAAGCATTCACCAGTTCTACCCCTGCTGTAGATATCCGAACAGATAGTTTGGCTGGTTAGAAATGCTTGTTCAAAAGCCGGTGAGACCCAACACGGAGCACTCTGGTGCCCTCTTGTGGTAGATTTGGTCTGTGCGCCTGTGCTTGCTCCCACCTGTTTAGATGAAAACAGTGGAGGGCAGGATGGACCCTGTTTGCAGAGCAGGCTGTAAAGCCCCCGCCCGTCAGTTGTAACTTCTGATAGGAGCATGATTACATGTCATCAGACACTTCACAGCTAAACTAGAGTCTGTAGACTCATTGATGTGTTAGAGAACCAGGATTTGCATCTTACGTTAAATCACATTTGATAGCTTTTTGAAGAACCATAAACGCCATATGATTTTACTTATCCCTTTTAAAGGGATTTTACCTTGAGTCTAATATGTAAATGTTGAATGACTTTTTATCTTCTGATAACTTATTGAAAAAATAGAATTGGCTACGGCTTACAAAAACATGTACAGTATGCTATAAATAGAAAATACGTGCGTGTAGAGGAGCCACTTGGGGAGGACCAGATTTGGTGGTGCACATCTGAAATCAGCTGCTGGGGAGAGGAGATTGCTGATCCGCACCTGCCTTACATTATAGCAAGACCTCATTTCAGAAGAAATATTAAAAGGAATTGTGGTGGGGGTGAAACGTAGCTCATTAGAGCTCTTCCCCAGCGTGTACAAAACCCCAGATTCTATCCAGCACTGAAGAAAATGGAAAAAGAATAAAAAGGATGAAAAGTAAGATAAAATCGTAGTTCTGGCCATCACAAGCCCACAGCTCAGGATTCTCAGAGATAGGGCAGTGGACAAGTCGTAGGCCCCAACTCAGGCAGTGGGGAGCCTATTTCCATGGCCACCCTGAGGGACAGCATAAGGCTGCAACAGGGTGGGTGCTTCAGGCATGCACTGTGACGTGCCTCAGAGAGACCCAGGCCATACACTGATCCCAGAAGAGACTTGCCAGATCTCTGACCTGCTCTGCAGGGGCAGTCCCCTCACACCTTCTATCCAGGCCTCTGATCGTCAGGATGGGTGGGTCCCCTAGGGGTACATATCCAGAAGCGAGATTGCCCTGCCTGAAGCGATGGCCATGCGGGTACTGACCATGTCCTGTGCCCTCGTTTCTAACGTTCGTCTTGGTGTCCCTGTGCCATGAGGAACCTGAAGCTCCTGAGACTCAACAGGGTGTGCCTGGTTGTGTGTGGCTCCCACCTGATTACCTATGGCACTGTTTTGGCATTAGTGTTCTGTGGCTTTGTGTGGTTCGTTCCCTCTGTCCCTCTTCCTGGGGTAAGAACTGTAGAAGACACTCTCTCAAATTGTTTCTGGACTGACTGTTCCGGGATACTGCCTCCTCTAGGGTAGCATGGGAGTCACGTCCACTCTGACTGCGCTAAGAACACAGCTCAGCCCCCGTTTCCCTTTATAGGGTGTGCGGAACTTCAGTGTCCCCGTGGGCTTGGACTCCAGTGTCCTCGTGGACTTAATTGTGGTGGGATCAGTTGCTGTGTCTGAGAAAGGTAAGCTAGAGGCAGGCCGTCCAGGTGTTCTGAAGGCTGCCCTGTCCGCTCTCCCCTGCCAGTCATTCTGCCCTGCGTGCCTGACCCCAGCCACTCACTGGCCACTTGTATAGGCTTTGTCCTGTTCTAGTCAGACCAGAGTCTCCTGGGTACCACAGAAGAGTGCACAAGGCCTGCGCCTCAACTAATGCGGTCTGGATAGTCTGCCAGGCATTCACGGAGGCCTGTCTCCCTGCTGACCCTAGCTTCTGTCAAGCTGACAGGAGACACAGTCACAGGGGCTCACAGGGGCCCCAGCACCTCTCTTCCTGTCCCCTGTGCATGTTGGGATTATCCAGCTTGAATTTTGAGCAGGCTGATGGTGAGCTGTAATCTCTCCCTGCCTTTAAAGACAATGTTGTTGTATGTCCCACGCTGACCTCAGATTAGTCTTCTTCTCTCAGGCCTGTGACCGTGCAACCCCGCTGAGCCTGGCCTCCCCTTTGCCTCTTGCTTCTCTTCCTAAGGCAGGAGATGAGGCACCTGCCCTTCAAAGCAGAACTCTGTTCTCTGTCCTCACCTGCCAACCTTCATGGCTTTTGGGTTTGATTTCAGAACTTGACCGTTAGGTCTCCACCCTCCCTCCTCAGCCTCTGCGTGCTGGTGCAGCTGCGTGACCGCACCTGGCTGCTGTCACTGCTTTTCACTGTGTCTTGTTGACATGGCCAGCACACAGTGCAAGCTTGGCCACCCCATGTACTCACTGTGCACTTTCAGTGTTCGGGGCCACTTGTGGAACACTGAGACCCCATCCTTTCCACTGAGGCCTGATAGGAGCCCACTGTGCCCGGCCTTGTCTCTTAGGCTGGAGAATTGGGAAGGGAGAAGGCTATGCGGATCTTGAGTATGCCATGATGGTGTCGATGGGAGCTGTCCACAAGGGGACTCCGGTCGTCACCATTGTCCATGACTGCCAGGTATGTCCTGCAGATCTATCGCTGGTGCTCCTCAGCAGCTCTGGGAGAGGGAGGGGTGAGAGAGACACTTGTTCGTAGCAGGCACATGGAGATTTATTATTAGTTATGAATGCTCAGCCGTATCATATGCTTGTTCACTAGCTCTTCTGACTTAATTTAACGTGTTTCTCTTCAGCTATGTTTGCCTCGGGACTTTTTTTCTTTTTTTCATTCTTTATGTCCTATTTTTCCTGTTTCTTCCATGTCTGGCTAGTGGCTACCTGGTTGGTTGGCCCCAGCATCTCTCTTTCTCCCTCGTTCTCCCTGCTCTCCCTTCTGTCCTCTTGAGCCTGGATTCCTCCTCCTACTTATTCTCTCCACCCATCAGTGCTGCCTAGCTGTTGGCCATTCGACTTTTTATTAGACTAATCAGGTGCCTTAGGCAGACAAGGTAAAGCAGTAACACATGTTTACATGATTAAATAAATGTAGCAGAAACAAATGTAACACATCTTTACATCATTAAACAAATGTAGCATAAACAAATGTAACACATCTTTGCCCAGTTAAAGTAATATTCCACAACATAAACAAATGTAACACATTTTTCCCTAGTTAAAGCAGTATTCCACAGCACCTGTTCTTGCATCCTGCTATGAGCAGTGTTGATGGATGAGGCCCTGGGTCTCATGCACTGGAGGTCATCCATCCAGTTGCTCAGTTCCTTCAGGGCCCTGCTGTCACCTGACTAGTCAGCGTCTTACCTTGTTCAGGTCGTTGACATTCCTGAGGCTCTTCTAGAGGACCACGATCTCACAGTTGACTACATCATCACTCCGACCAGGGTCATTGCTACAGGCTGTGCACGCCCAAAGCCAACAGGGATCATCTGGTCCAAGGTGAGTTATTACTGTGGCTGGCATGGCCTATTGTAGTGGCCATCAGTGTTCCTCGTATGACCTGGCCATTGTCTGCTGTCGTGTGTGGCTGGACATCAGCACTACCTGGAACTTTGTGGCTCCAAGTAATGTCTTCAGGCTGAGGCCTAGAATTACCTAGGAAGCAGTCATGGGAGGGTCACTTCACTGTGGCACCTTTGCTAGTTTTTTCGTGTGTGTGTGTGCATTTGTGTTCATATATGTGCACGTGTGGAGGCCAGAGGTGAGCCTTGGGTGTCATTCCTCATGCCTTGTGATTCGGGCAAGCACTACTAATGAGCTGCCTCTCAGTCCTTTGCTAATTTTTATTTTGGAGACAGGGTTCACTGCCTAGACCTCTCGAGTAGCCAGGATTACAAGCTACACTGCCACCCTTCACAAAAGATTGCAAACTTCTAGGTAATTAACACATGAAAACCAAATCTGAGTTGTAATTTTTGGAGGATGGAATTTTTGGAGGACGGAGCATAAAAATGTTGTTTTCTGATTGATTAACAAGTAGAGCTCTCATTTCATGTGGCACATTGATAAAACGTAATGACCATTCCTAATTGCCTGCTAGTAAAAACAGAATCCCCTCAGTGTGGACAGCGACATCAGCCCATTCTGCTAGCCCAAATGTAAGCCGTGGGGAAATGGCAGAGCCAGTGTGGCTGGGACTTGTGGAGAAGTGAGCCAAGCCATGCTGGGTGGCATGACTCCCTACTCAAAACAGGCTGTTCCCGAGAGGAGCGGTGCCCGGCCCCATAGTAGCTCGAGCACCAGGAGATGCCATCCTCACAGCTCAGCTCCTGTGCTGCTCGGCTTCCTGGGAAAGGAACCCAGAGCCTGAGTGCTGATCTGATGTGTGCACCGTAGAAACCTGCCTTGAGCTGGGCATAGTGGTGCACGCCTTAAATCCCAGCCCTCAGGAGGAAGAAGCAGATGAATCTCTGTGAGTTCGAGGCCAGCCTGGACTACATAGTAAGTTCCAGGGCAGCCAGTGCTATATAGTGAGTCTCTCAAAAAAGAAAACAGACTTGTCCACTACAAAAAGAAAACCCCCCCCCCTACACACACACACACACACACACACACACACACGAAAACCTGTCTTCAAGCCATGGCTGTTCTCTCAGTAACTGCTTGTTTACCAGTTTTCTGCCTCCAAGGTTAAAGAAAACCTTGTTTCTGATGGATGAGAAGTGTCAGAAAGGACTGAACAAGTCTGCTTCGTGGCCCACTGCAGACTCTGATGTTCAGACTGATCTGCTAGCTCAGTCCAGGCGTCCCACTGGCAAACTGGCTGCTGATGCTTCCAGCCAAGTTTGTGCACAGGGATCAGGCACTTGGCTCCTCCTCCACGGCACACTGCTCACATGGTGATCTGCCTTCCACTGCCTCTGCAGGTTGTTGGGATGTTTGCAGGCAACTTTACCACCTTGGTAGGACCGCAGGCGGCCTGTGTGAAAGCCCCACAGGCTGATGCTGAGCTCAGGAAGCTGTCATTTAACAACTTGGTGGCCTAGTACTAGGGAATGCTGCACGAGTCGTGCTTAGTGTCAGACCTGCCTGGCAGTGTGTAGGGCCAGGCCTCAGTGTGACCCAAGAGCTGCGCCTGGGCATGTAAAGGACCCCCCCAGCCACAGGCACCGTAGGAGCCCTCACTTTTCCTCAATTTCCAGGCAAGGAATTGCCCTCTGTGGCCGTGTTAACACCACTGACTGCAGGTGCTCTTTTGGGTGAATGGCCCACAAAGGAACCCCAGCTCTTTCCTCCGGGAAGGTAGAGGCCCATTTCACCCTTGCTGTGGCACATGAAGGGACAGTCTGAAGGACTTCAGAGTGTCAGGATTTCATTTAGGCTGCTGTGGAGTCAGAGCTGAGCTGCAGGCTGGTGACTTTCTATTAAGGAATGGAATCCAGACCTGGCTTCATGTTGCAGGCTTATCATCTGGGCACACTGGATGCTGAGGCAGAAGGATGGCAAGTTTGATGTTCAGGCAAACCTGGGCAATATGATGAGGCCCTTTCTCCAAATAAAAAGAAATGGCTGGGCTGTAGCCCAATGGTAGAAGACTTGTCTAGCCTGTGTGAGGCCCTGTGCGTCACCCCCAGCATCAGAGAAATAAATAAAATTAAAGCTCCCCAAAGACCGCGCTGGGGCCTTCAGCACCTTTCAGTCGTATGGTGTAATATGTTACCAGAGTCCCTCCTGGGTATGTGGGTGTGGCCTTGGTGTGACTACCCCCTGATAACCCCAAGACTCCGACTGAGGTCACTGTCTTTTTCAGGTCAGTTGTGAGATGCTTACGAAAATCCCAGTGCTCAGGATCCTCCGTGAGCAAGAGAGGCGGGCCGGAAAGGATGTCGCTCTTCAGTCTGAGCCTGGCAGCCAGCACCCAGCTTCAAGCACCATGAGGAGACCCGGGGATGTACCGCAGTCACAAGCAGCTTCCCTAGGAGGGTCCCATAGCCCCTTGCACAGGGTGGACACCCAACCAGCTGCCACTGTGTACGTGGGAAACCTGCCCTCCAATGCTCGTGTGCGTGAACTGAAGAGTGCCCTCCAGGAGCTGGGGGCAGTGCCCCTGAGGCTTACCTGGCAGGGGCCACAGCACAGGGCCGTTCTACACTATGCTGACTCAGCTGCTGCCCAGCAGGCTGCCTTCCGCCTTCAGGGCCTACATCTAGGTGCCAACACCTTGAGGGTGGCACTGGGGCAGCAGAGGGATACGTGACCTGGTGAGCAGCCCCCAACAGAAGAGCTGTGCCCTCTCTTGTTGGAATGACTCTGACGTGTGATAGTTTGCTATTGATGGGGGCCTGCTGCCGTGTGAGGCAGATGCTCTGTTCCTCCTGGGAAGAGGCCACACTTTCCTAATGTGTAGGGATGTGTGGCGAGCAGCACATCACAACTCTCGGGAGACCACGAACTCTGACTCGTTCTGCCCATTCCAGTTCTGGTTCTGTTTGTGACGTCCATGTGATATGCTCTCTGGGTGCAGAAGGTCTAGGGACAAAAGGTAGAGAATGGAGACCCGATTTAGGATAGGAGAGAAAGTTAACACAGACCCACAGAGAAGAGGCCAGGGCAGGGATCGAGGGCAGGCAGCAGAGCCGCAGTCCAGCAGAACAGGGGTGGGTAAGGGGCTCTGCACCTGGAGAACGGGAACCCCACTTGTGCATGTGTGTGATGTCTACCCAGGCGGCACAGCTTAACTCCACAGGCTCAGGGCCTCACTATCGCTCAGTGGGAATGAGGGGGGTGGCAGCTGCCTGTGCTTTCCAAGGTACAGTACTTGTGCCGTTGATCCTAGGCAAAAAGTCAAAATAAGCATTTATCAAATGTGCATGCTTGAGAAGTTTCTCGTTTTTACCAGTGGGTCTTCCACAGTGTCCATTAACATTGTCCTTTGCCCCAGAAGGGCAGGCCTAGAAAAAATACCTTGTGACACACAACTCCTTGCAGGGACCTAGCCATAGTCACTCAGTGCTAGTTCAGAATCCACCCCTTCCAAGTTGTCCCAGGCCCTATGAAGAGTGGACGTAGGAAGCAGGCCTTGAGCTGCGCTGACCTCCGGCCTTGCACTTGCTGGCCTGGCCTTCCCTCCGCTCCTCCCCAGCACAGCCGTTCGCCATCCCATCCATTCCCCACTCTGCTTTTCCCAGAGCTCTGCCTGCATTCGGATCCTCGCCTGCCCTTGTGTCCCTTCTTACCACTGATGTCCCCCACGGGACAGTGGCTGCAGGTTAGCAGCCTGGAGCTTTTTCCCAGACCAGCAGGGCATGAGTGACTCAGGAAATCTCATGTTCTGTGGGCTGTCCATCAGAGCTGGGAAATGGGAAGATGTCCCTCACCCCAAAACCAGCCACGCCTGACTTCAGTCACTCAGGTCACCCCGATGGTGTGGGCCTCTTGTCACTTGTGGCCAGAATAATCCAGATGTGTTGACACAATCTGAGCCACTTGTGTCTTTGTGTAAAGTGGTATCAGCATTGAAGCCCCAATGCCCTCAGTCTCAGCCACGGCGGTGGATGCTGCAGGCCGTAGCCTTTCTCAGGATACCTTTCAGTCTGGTTCCCCAGATGGCTGGTGGACCACGCTGACAAAGTCATTGCACTCTTTGTCACTGTGATTGTATGGCACATACTAAACAGCGGGCAGAACTCTTGTCGGGTGCTGAGGTGGCAAAGATGCTGTGAGTGTTGCTGCATGTGTCTTCATCTGAACTTCATGACTGGCACTAAATAGAACATAAAACAGAGAACATCAATGTTTATTTATTTTTGGATCTGTTTTGTTTTTGACACAGGGTCACTCTGCATGGTGGCCCTGACTGTTCTGGAACTCACTCTGTAGACAATGCTGGCCTCAAACTCATGAGATCCATCTTCCTCTGCCTCCAGGATGCTGGGATTAAAGGTGTGTCACTGCCCCTGGCTCTGGTTTTGTTTTGTTTTTTTGAGACAGGGTCTCTGCATAGCACTGACTGGCCTAGAACTGCTGTATAGACCAGGCTAACCTCAAACTCAGAGATCTACCTGCCTGTGTCTCCCGCCACACTCAGCTTCAAATTTCAAAACATCAGAGCCTTTCTACAAAGTAAATCTTTGATAGGACCCATGTATAAGGACCGATATGTAGGTGACACCCAACCGGTGATTCTTAGCACTCTTTAGTGGGTAGTGCCTGCCTTCTTTCATAGAACCCATGTATAAGGGCTGACATGTAGGTGACACCCAGTCCGTGGTCCTCAGCACTCTTTTAGTCTATCCCCTTGGCCTTTCTTAAACTCTGAACTCCCTTTTCCTGCAGTTGGGGGATAGAGGAGAGCTCTCTTCTATTCTCCGAAGGACTTGAAGCACCCAGGGAGCTTGGTGCATCTTCCCAGGAAGTGCCTCAGCTCCCCCACCAGAAGCCTTCCCCCAAAACTGGCTAAAGTCACACCACGTTGGACTAGTGGAGTTGGGGACCAGCTCCACGCAGTGGTGACGCTGGGCTGTCCTGTGGAGAGAACCACACACCCCCAGCACTGTTGGGATGGTGTGCTATTTTGGAAGGGATCCCGGGCCAGGGGGAGGAGCCCTCACCGGTTCCACTGAAGCATCCCTGTAACTTCACGAGTGAGGTGACTTTAATGTTTTAAGTCACTAAACTTGGGGCAAGTGTTTGCTTCCTCAGTAAGCAATTATGAGGCAATGATAGACACATGTAAATCATACGTTAAAGTATAGATCAACGCTTCCTCTGAAGAGCAGCAATTCACAAGAGTAGATAGAGGGTTTACCATAACCGTCATGATCATCATTGCAGATATGGGTTCCTCGGCCAGCTGAGGTCCCAGGAGCGCACCCAAGTTGCTCTTTATCCCCAGTGAGTAGGCTCAAGTCGGGGCCGTTTGTCAGGACAGAAAATCAGCCCTCCCTTGTAAGGTGACCTCGCTCTTCCCACAGCAGAGGGTAAATGGACTTGGGTCTGTGGCTTGGGTGTCAGGGTCACCCACCGCGCTGAGTCCATCCTGCATCCTTCAACCTTCTCACCTCTAGGTTGTGGCCCCTGCCTCTCTGGTGCTCCTGTGGGCAACACTGCAGGTCCCGAGGACCCTGGATCCTTCCATCCATCTTCTTATCCCGCCACAGTGCCAAGCCCCAGAGAGTCTGGGTCATCCAAGGATTTTACTGGGAACCACAGAGATGTGCAGACAAGCAGACTTAAGTGAGGAGCCGCGCTCTTTTCCTCACAGAGGCAGGGCTGCCTCCTGTGAATGGAGCCCTTTGTTTTCCAGGGCCATAAATCACGATGCTTGCAATGGGAGCCGAAATGCGCCTGTGTGGTGTGGATGCACCATACTTTGGTGGTTGGAAGCGCTAAGCACCGGTCTTGAGGCGCTGAGCTGTGGGTAACTCCAACATCGCTCCCACCTGCAGGTCGGACAATATCACCAGTAGGAGCAGCTTTCCGGATCAGGGTCTCAGACCAGAACTGGAAGGAGCCCTGGATCCTGGCCCTGTGAAATGGAAAAAGGCTGTTCCCAGGGGAACTCTGACCTGCTCATCTCCTGACCACAAGCAGGGCCTCCAGGCCAACTGGAAGCCATGGCAACTTGTCAGAACACAGAGAACATTGAGTGGCTGAAGAATTCAGAGTCAGAGTCACACATTGCCGTGTGTGTGTGTGTGTGTGTGTGTGTGTGTGTGTGTACATGTGTGGGATTGTGTGTACAGTGTGTTCTAGCTGTGTGACCTCAGGCAGGGCTCACTCTCTCTGTGCCTGGGTTCTTCAGAGTTAACTTTTTTTTTTTTTTTGAGACAATAGGGTTTCTCTGTAGCTTTGGAGTCTGTCCTAGAACTAGCTCTTGTAGGCCAGGCTGGCATCAAACTCACAAAGATCCGCCTGTCTCTACCTCCCAAGCGCTGGGATTAAAGGCATGCACCACCGCCCGGTCAGGGACTTGAGTCTTACAGCGGACTTCCCCACACATCACAGGAGGGAAGCAAGCAAAGTTAGAAAGAGGCAGAAGCAGGACTGGAACCACACCCTGGGAGCTGGGAGCTCCGAACCAGCACGTCCATTATCTGCTTCTCTGGGGGCCACATGGTCTTGGTGTGCAGGGCATGCGTTCATAGACCCCAAAGCTGCCTGGGATGGGACTGGAAGTGACTTTACACTCCGCTTTTCTGAAGTCCATTTTCTAAAGCCCTATTATTTGTGTAACTAGGAAAAGAAAATTAGTTCAACTCTCAATGAGAACGATCCATCTCTCCTAAACTGGGGTCTAAGGGTCTGAACTAGGGTCCACTCATCTGGACCTGGATGCTTGTTGCCTGGTGAAATCTGTTCTAACATGAACTGTGAGAAATGGACAGCAGGTGGCGCCGTCTCCTCGTGAGAAGTAGGCAGGGGCAAAATCCCAGGGCGGGTGCTTCTTGTGCCGAGTCAGGGATTCCCTCTTCTTTTCAAGGGGTCCCTAACCAGGAGCTGTCTCCCTGTACTGGCGTCATGGTGAAGTGCAGCCTGCTGCCCCCTCCCCGCCTTTTGCTCATCTGCTGCCCGCCCCCCTCGGGTTTACTGCTATGATCCTCTTCCTTCTTTACACGGCCTAGCTCTCTGACCTAGCTAGGGGGTCCTGATGCTGGGGGTCCAGAGAGAGCTCATTCCTGCCGGGCCCCTGTCACACAGAAACCCAGAGACATTGTGTGCCTATCTAGAACTTGCTTTCAGGACAAACTCCCAAAGGCAGATGACTGGTCCTTTTTCAGGGACGTCTAAGAACCTGGCATTCTTCCACGTGGCCATGACCCGGACAGTCGGGGAACATGGAGTCCCTACCTCCCTGGCGTGACGTCACTAGCTTTAATAAGATGCTCTGAGAGGCTTAGCACTTGATCCTTCCCCAGACCACTGCTGTGTCACCAGGTGGGCACTGAACACCAGAACTATGCCGGAGTAATACGGGCTGGGTCAGGGCCCACTGAAAGGATTGGTCAGGTACTGTGGTTGGGCTCAGTAGGGCTAGCTTTCAGCTCTGTTCAGACTACCCCACCCAACTGTCCTTCAGGGGAGTCAAATGAGCCTTCCTTATAGTAGAAAGAACAGGTGTGCTACCCCACCTTGGTAACCCCGTCTTCCCATCATGCTCTCTGCAAAGTGGGCTTCTTTCACATGGTCAGCCAGGTGACTGTGGACACCATGGCAATGGCGGGACTGTGCCGACCTGTCTACCGGGAAAAAGTCTGACGGCAAGGTTTCATGGCGGCTCAGTGTGGCCCTTGAAGGCACTCCGGGCGGTTGCACAGCTGTGCTCACCCAGCCTGTTGTTTCACGCGGACTGTATTCCTCTCTGGGCCATCAAAGCACACCAGAAAATGTTATAAGGGTGGAGATAGAGATCTGTGGTAGACAACATCCTAGGTGAAACACTGGGTGGGATACTCGGACCAAAAAAAAGAGAAAAAGAGCGGAGGAGAAGGAGGACGGAGTGAAAAAATGCAAGCGCGGGGCAGGGGGAGGGCCTCACGATTAAAGGTCCATGATCCATCTGTCCATCTTTACAATGGCCCAGACTCCATCTAGTAACTGGCAGGGCTCCACCTGAGCTTGCAGGAAAGAAGGCCCTTCCTCTCCTTACCCAGAGAAACAGAATCAGGCAGCCGCACCCGACTGCCGCCCACAGTCTCTGGTCTTGTGTCAACTTTTGCTTGATGTTTATTTCCACTGTACCAAGAGGTTGAAGGAAGAAAGGGGGGCAGGCAGGGAGCCATCGTGAAAGCTGGAAAGGCCGTGTCTACAACTCCAGGAGGGACGTGAGAGTCCCCAGTCTGACAGGACACTGAGAGCCTGTGGTCTTCCTGGGCTTAGTGGAAACGCTGGGCAGGGTCTGGTAGCCCTTGTGTATATCATGAAGGCCAGCCTGGGCTGGGTCAGGAACCCCACTTCAACATCCCCCTCTCCACTGATGATCCAGGAAAACAGGTCATGAGCTTTGGGGGTCAGAAAGTCCAGGGTCTGAGCCCCAATCCCACATCCTCCTATTTTATACCAGCACTTGTGCGGCCTCTCTTGAGTTGGGCTTCCATACCTAGGGTGGAAGAGGGGCATGAGAGTCACTTAAGGGGTGTTGTGAGGGTGGACTGAGGAGAGGGCTGTCAGGATATAAGAGTCTCCTGAATGTCGCCTGTTCCCCCAGGGCACCCAGTTTTCCCAAACTGCCACTGGAGCCAGGGCGGGCAGGAGAGGGCAGCAGAGGCCAGACCAAACCACCTCACTGGTGGGGCTGAGGGCTCTGAGGAGGAGCATACACCTCAGCCCTTATGGGGAACCCTGCCCCTCTTCTAGAGAAGCCGGACATAGTGGGTCGCTCAGAGACACCAGAAGTGACGCCGACCCTTTCACTCCCCACCTGAGACCCTCAGACTATTCTGGTAGTGGGTGGTGGTGGGGAGTCTCAGGCCCAAACCTACAGCTGAGCTATAAGCACCCAAGAGGCAGCTCCTGGAAAGTCTGGGCGGGCGCATGCATGTTCTCCCCGAGACACACACACACACACACACACACACACACACACACACACACCAGGGGTCTGAAGGCCACCACTCTCCCTTCTGGGTGCCAGGGCATTATGTCCCCTTCCACCTGAGCATGCCACTGCCCCATCTTACTGGGACATCGTCAGAGAGCAAGAAAGCAGAAAGCAGAGGGCTTGGTCCACACATTTCCAGGTGACTCCAGGGCAAGTACTCCGGTTGGTTGATATTTCCACTCTCCCTCCTAGGAATACAGTCACTGATGCGTCTGTCAGGCACGGAGTAAGGTTTTGGTGCAGCACCAACCCTTCCCTGTCCTGGACCCTTCATTCCCAAAGAGAAAGGACAATAGATCACACCTGCACATTCACAGCTCACACCCTGTTGTCCGCTAGCCTCTGGGTGCTGAGTTCACCCTGGGTCTGAGTTCAGGGTCAGTGGGCTTCTGTTGTCTGGCCTGGGGAAGTTCTTCCTGACTAAGGTCTGTGGGACCTAGAGTCAAGGCCTAGGAGGCTGTGCACCCAGGTCTGCAAGAGGAGGAGGTTATGGAGGGGACCCTATGATTCACCTACATGGCCGAGCTTTGTGCCTCCCACCGTTTGTCCCTCTCCGGGCCTGGGCCTTCAGCCTTAGGCCTTACACACACTTAGGGCCTCTGACCATTCAGCCAGGGTGCTTGGAGATAACTAACAGCAGGGCTCAGTCTGCGCTGACGATAGGTAAGTGATCACGCACGCACTATTCCGTGCCACTCAGAGGCCGTGTGCTAATTTAAGACCGTGACTTGCACGTATCCGAGTGTTTTCGTGGACACGGCGGTGGGCCCTTCCCTCCCTGTGCGAACTTAAGCCAAAATGAGCCCGGGAGAAAGCCTGGCGCCATCAATGCGGCGGCGGGAAACTTCGGCCCGAGGCTCGGTGATCCTGCCGACCCAATCCGGCCCAGCTCAGCTGGCCTGGAGCCGCCCTCCTCTGGGGGAAGGCCGGACTTTCCCTCTCACCCTCGGGCGGCAGATCAGGCGAAAGCAGGGCTTCAATTTCCCGGGCCCTGGCCAGTTCTGCAGGAGCGATTCTGGGTGCCTTCCACCCAGCTGAGCCTGATGTGTGGAAATCCTACGAAACCCACACAGGAGTCTGGTGATGAGCCGGAAGCTGGGGTTCACCGCCGCCGCCGGCACACGGACCTTGGGCGCAGAAGCCACCGCACCAGGGGGCCGCCTCCGTGCTTCCCTTGTCCTCAGGGGCACAATCAGAGCTGGGGAGGCCCGGGCTCTAGGGCCGGGGGCTTTCCCTGTACCTGCTTTCCCGCCCGAGAGAAAGTCTCGGCCTGCGGAGGACAAATCCTCCCCCGGCTTCGAACCTGCCCCAGGCCGCAGGGCCGTGAGAGCAGCGGGGCCGCAGCCCCCGCCCGATGTTGCAGACTTCGCTGCTCCGGCCTTTTCCTCTTTATCTGGGTTTTATAGACAGCTGTTAGTTTGGGACATTAATTGCCCGGACGAGTTTATTGATAATTTTGATGTAACAGAGCACCGGAGAAATTACCCTCCCGTTCAGAATGTCAAGTCTGAGAAGAAGCAGGTTCTGAGGCGCGACCCCACGGTGCACAGACACTGCGGTGGGTCAGGATCGCGGCACCAACAATGCGGCTTATTGTGTTTGTTTTCCTAGGTGGGCGGTTGGTGATGGAGATGGTGGTCAGGGGAGCGCAGAGTTTAGCTGTTCGTCCTCTCCAGAAGAGGGGGTTAAAATACGATTTAGAAGGGAAATATGTTAGTGGCAGAAACATGGATGCAGTCCGGGGCACTCACGGATGGAACCTTCCTGGCTGGGTTTTATAGGAGTTCAGCGGGGAAGATCATCAGGCAATTGAAAAACAGACAAAATAAACAAACAAAACTTTGAAGTTGCTTCATTATCTAAAACAGAATGTAAGACAGGTCAAGCAAGGCTCATGCCTGGAGTAAACGGCACACTGGGTTCAGGGTAGAAGGAAAAAAATAGACAGAAATACATACAAAAACCGTGTGCTTCTGCACACACCGACTTTCCCCCAGGGATGAAAATACTACAGATTTTCTTTAAATGTAAATGTTTGATTATTTCTTCAAACCAAGAAATGACATTTAGGGGGACAGAAAGCTCATCCTCAAAAACTAGAGGCAGGAAAAAAAAAAGTTACCCCTACCCAGATTTTACTACAGCGTGAAATGAAGAGTGAAAGAGAGGGGGAAGATAGGGTCGGGGTGAGATTCACTTAGATTTAGAGTTTTGCTCCATCCAGAGAGCCGAAGCTCCAGGGACAGGCAATGTCTATTACCCCCAACAAAGTAGCCATGCGAGTTTATTTCTAGCGACAAGAGTTTTAGAGGCCATGTACAAATGTTATACATTTTTATTTTTGTTCTTTTTGTAGGAAAAATACACAAAAAGCATACCCTCGGATTATCCTTTTATACAGTGCAGAAGGGGGTTTAAAATATGTGTCACAGACGGCGCACCTCTGCAGCCGAAATACTAAAAAGGGGGACAGTCCTTCATTTTATATATATTTATATAAAACATATGGGATTTTGTTTTTACACGGATTGGTCTTTGTTTCAAATTTACAATGGGTATCGAATAAAAAAAACAACTCTACACGGCAAATATTGCCAACCAAGTCACACCATTAATATCGGGAGGGCAGAGCTACGTGGTGTTTTGATTAGGAAAAGAAAGCAGAATAAATAACAGGCTGAGCCTGTCTCCGGTGTCAGGGAGCCTGAACTACACCACCTGATCGAGCCTCCGTATCCCTGCAGCTTCCCGTGTTCGTTTCCTTTCCGAGTTACAGTAGAGACTGGAAGACAGAAAAAAACACCTACAGAAGAAGTCACAACGCAACTCCAAAACAAAGTGAAAGACAGACGCTGGAGGAAGGAGAAAATGGAAGGGGACAGAGGCTGGGGCAGCTCCTCGGCTGGTTTTCTTTTTTAAAAGACAAACAGAGGCTCCAGGTATCCGTGTCATATCCACGAAGATCCACCTGTGATTGCTGGAGGAGACCCCAGGTCGGGAGAGGGAGATGCTCGCCTGATCCTTTCCTCCTCCCCAGAAGGGGGAAAAAAAGATGGCTGAAGGGGGGGGGGGAGAAATTGTGCATTTCAAGACATTCTTTCAAAAAGTTAAAAATTAAAAGATAAATACTCAATCAAAAATAAAAGTATTTGATAATGACTGGTCTCACGTGTTCCTGCTTCTAAAAACTGTCCCTTGGTGTGGGAGGAGTGGAGAGACCTCGGCAGAATTCTTTCCTTGTAGCTGGCTTCCCCCCACCACACACACACACACACACACACACACACACACACACACAGCACCTTAGTGGCTGCTTTCAATGGGGTTGAAAACAAGTATCAATTTTACTGTCAGCTGCAGTCCGATCTGGTGTCCTAAGGCCACTGTTTTTTTAGGAATTAGTGAGGGAGCTGGGGTGGCATCTCCGACCACAGTGCCAGGTTTGTGTTGGGGTTTCTTTCCAAATAATCCATTAGGGAAGGGGACGGGTCCTTTTCCCTTGCTGACGGTTATACCTCCAGAGTAAAGCAGTTTGTGGGGGTGGGCTCCTGGTCCCTGGGCCGGCCAGGCTGGGCTGGAGGGCCCGCGGCCTCTGCGGCTTCACATCACACACGGTTTGATATCTTGGTAGGTGACCTGCTGATGGTAATAGGATCCTCCGCCAGTCGAGTGCATAGAGGAAGACGCCATGGCGTTGAAAGAGAAGACAAACTCCTTTCTGTCACACATGCTGGGTGACTGTGAGTGATACCGAGGGATGCCTGTCGGGTGAGGGGACAGCAAGCGTGGGGAGCAAAACGTTAGTTTCTAAGCCCTGAAGCCCTGTGATGACCAGGCACACCTCCGCCTGGCCCAACTGCACCCCCCACCCTCAGTGGGGACAGAACTGGGGAAGGGAATGGCCCCTCCTCCGAGTGCGTCCCACACTAGAACACTGGCTAGAAGTCCTACTTGGGTAGCTCCAATGCCTGAGGCCTCTCCAGCCTGCCAGAGGGCTTCTTTAAGTCAAAGAGGAAGGCAGAGGAAGCAGCTATGGCTTCTCATGCCCCAGAACCTGGGAGACTGAGATTTCTGCAGCTGTCAACTTCCACTCTGGTGAAGTCAGAGACCCAACGTGGGGTCAACAAGCTTCAGAACTTCAACCCAGAACGGTCCCCCGAAGGACAGGCAGTGCCCAGGATGGGTGGGAAGAGGATTTTAACTTGGCATAAGCTGGGGGTCAGAGGAGGCCCACTAGGTCTAGCCTAGTGTTCTGTTTCCCAGGGGTTCTGACAGCTAATTTCTGAATACCTCTCTACCCATTTCCCCTTCCAGAACAAGGCCCTATAAGAAGAAAGCTACCCACTAAGGGCTAAGAGTAAAGTGAGCTGTTGGCTATTTTCTTTCTCAGTGGGGTGAGTTTGGGGTGGGCACTGAAGGACCTTGAAACCTGGATCCCGAAAGACAAAATGCTTTGGGGTCTATAACTCAGACCCCCAACTCCAGGCCCCATCACCATATGGGCTAGCTGTCAGCACAAAATGCCCCTGGAGCAGCAGGCCAGGTTTCCTGAAGAGTGTTGGGCCCAGGCCGCTTTGGGCCTAACTCTTGCTTTGGGCCTAACTTAGCTCTTTCCTAAAACAGACTCCTTGCATGGGGACTATCAGAAAGGTGGGCCTACTGGCCAAGATTAGGCCCCTGATTAGATACAGAGGGCCTCTGCTAGATGTGAAGGAACCCGCATGCCACAGTGGACTTGGAATGCTGGGTTCTGAATCTTTTGGGTGAGACTGGGGCCTACCTGATCAGGCGTGGGGCAGCCAGCAAAGAGAAGCCAGAACAGAAACTGAACCAGCCTAAACCGGGAAGGCATCAAACCGCACTCATTTCTCAGAGAGGAGTGGTATCCAAAAGCACCCCGGTGGGTTGCTGCCTCCCACCAGGGTTGGGGCTAACGCCCCCAAAGCAGGACTGGTTACCCGGCTGTCAGGGGTCTGGGACCCCTGCACTCACCTTGCAGTTCCGCTGGCCCGTTGTGACTGTTTTGGTGTAGGTACGGCTGGTCCAGGGAGTGCGTGGAGAGGCTGCCAGACAGGGGGTTGGCCGCTGGGTTACAAGGGGACAGAGGCTGTTGCTTGATGTAGGAGGCCCCGCTGTTGAGAGCTGCGGAGGCCGAGGGCGGCCAGGCTGCTGCGGAGCTGGAGTAGACGGCGTGCGGCTCCATGACCCCGCCAGCACCGGCCGGCAGCAGCGGGGAAGCAGGCACCGAGCTGTCGTGGTGCGGGTATTCTCCGGCCGCAGAACCACCGCAGCCGCCCATGTACGAGTGGCCGCCGTTTGAGGGCAGGTGTGGCACCGAGTGGCTGGGCAAAGCCATGCCGTCCACGTTGCCCGCCAAGTGGCCATTCATCATGCCCAAGCCGCCCTCCAATGCCAGGCTGTTGGGCGCGCATGAGAGGCCTCCGGAGCCCTGGAAGCCGTAGGTATCGGGGAGGTGGTTGAAACCCAGCCCGTTCACCATACTGTACACTGGCTTGAGCGCCTGGCATTTCCTTCGGAAGCCGCGCGGCCGCCGGCGGAACGAACCCTCCTCGAACATGAACTCGCTGGCCGGGTCGATGGTCCAGTAGTGGCCCTTGCCGGGCCGCCCGAGGCCCTTGGGCAGCTTGATGAAGCACTCGTTGAGCGACAGGTTGTGGCGCACGGAGTTCTTCCAGCCTTGGTAGGCGCCACGGAAGAAGGGGAAGCGCGCCTGCAGGAACTGGTAGATCTCGCTGAGCGTCAGGCGCTTGCTGGGCGAGCTCTGGATGGCCATGACGATGAGTGCGATGTACGAGTAGGGCGGCTTCTCCGGCCGCCGCACGCCGGCGTTAGTCTTCTTGGCCTTGGTGGGGCCCGCCGCCGCGGGGTCCATGGCCTGGCCGCCCGCACCGCCGCCTCCTCCTGTGCCCCCGCCGTGAGGCGGCTGCTGCT